CTGTGTCTACCTTCAGAGTCATGAAGCTCCTGGGAAGGTTCAAACCAAACCTCAGTATTGGCATGTAGTCTCTCCCAGCCACTATGTTCACAAAAACTGGCATTCCTGGAGATCACAATGCCATTTGTCCCTTCAGCAAAGCGGAAACCTTTCCCAGCTCCTGGTAACCCACAAACACTGTTTGGTCTTAGGATCTCCCTTCTTCCTCATTTGTTTTGGAATTAATACCCAGGCTTTTGATCCAAACACATGCAAATGGTCAATTTTGGGTTTTTTCTGAAACAATTTAAAGTACGGGGTTGTACCTATTGTTTGATGAAAGAGCCTGTTTTGGAGATAACACGCGGTGAGCATGCTCTCCCCCCAATAAGACATGGGCAAATCAGCATCCTCAAGCATGGCAAACATCATATCTTGTAAAGATCTGTTTTTTCGCTCTGCAACGCCATTCTCCTCTGGGGGAAAAACATTCGTTTTTCTATGCCCAATGCCACGCTTTTGTAACCAATCTTTAAAGGCATTTGACATAAATTCGCCACCTCTGTCCGTCTGAATCCTTTTGAGTTTAATGGACAGAAATCTTTCCACAGATGCCACCCAGCCTTTAAACTTAGTGAACACGTCACCCTTATTCTTCATGGGAAAAACCCAAGAATAACGTGTGGCGTCATCCACAATTGTTAGTGAAAAGCGCGATCCACCCCTGCTTACAGCAAATGGACCAATTACATCCATGTGAACCAGCTGTAGCGGTGACTCACTAACTCTATCACTTCTGGGGTAAGAGACTCTGTGGGTTTTGACCTTTTTACAAACATTACAATCAAGGTACTTGTTACAACTCTTTAAATTACCCCCATCAGCCAATTCAGACATTTTTAGTACACTTTTCCAGCAAGCATGCCCCATTTTCCTATGCAATAAGTGCACACAGTTGTCATGTATAGCTTTGTTATTCACTGCAGGCTGAGATTTACTGACTACTGCTGCAACTTGAGATCCTGCTTTAAGCCAAAACAAGCCTCCCTCTGACTTAGCAGTGCCTAAAATCTCACCAGCCTTCTTAATAATGCAACTGTCTCCTTCAAAATACACTTTAAACCCAGCTTTTAGCAAACAATCTACAGACATCAGATTGCTCCTTAATGACGGCACACAAAGTACATTTTGCAGGCATTCACGAAGACAAGGAACAAAAACTGCACCCCCCGAAATCACTTCGGAAGTACTTCCGTCTGCTAGAGCCACCTGGCTGCGCTGTGCTGAGTTCTTGGAAACAAACAATTCATCTGAATTTACGATGTGGCGAGATGCTCCCGAATCGACCACCCAGACCGCTTGTTTCTCATCAGCAATCTTGACCTCGCCGGTCACCAGTTGAGCCGACTGTTTTCGTTTGAAGAATTTCTTTTTACGCTGCTGCTGCTGCTGATCTCGTCTCTGCTCCTGCACCGGCAACTGAGACTTGACCAACTCCGGACATTGTCGTTTTAGATGCGCTGAAGACCCACATCGGAAACAACGCCTAACAGCAAACGCTGGCTCCTCACCGGTATGCTGCTTTTGCGTCACCTCTGGCACGGCATGAGAACTCCTTCCAAACCGCCCACCTGTAGAAGCCTCTGCAGCCAACGACCTTTCTTGCCTCTTCTGCCATTCTTCAATCAAACGCCCAGTAACGTAACTGACTGATAAATCATGCTCCTGCATGCCTTCTAGAGACAAAACTAAATTATCCCAGCTTTCTGGGAGAGAACTCAAAATAATAGCCACCTTCTCCTGCTGGTCTAAAGCACAGTCTCTTTCCTGTAGCGCAGTAAACTTTAACTGTAAACTGTGTAGGTGTTCCTGCATTGTAACCCCAGGCTATAACATTGCCTTGTACAATGCCTTGCGAATGAACAGCTTGGAAACCGCTGTCTCACGCACATGGAGTTCTTTAAGTGCTTGCCACACACCTCTAGCTGTCTTGATTCCCCTCACATACGGCAACTGGGAATCTTCCAGCCCCAAGACAATTGTGGCCCTTGCTCTTTGGTCTTTATCGAGGTCTTCATCATCAGACTTCGCAGGAAACTTACTCACCACTTGCCAGAGACGATCCCTCTGCATTACTGCCTGCATGCGTTCCGACCACAGCAAGTAATTGGAGTCATTCAGACGCTCAAAAGCCATCTGAACTGGTTGTGAGGCCATCTTGAGAGCGATGTCCCTGGAACCCGGAACCAGCTACTCACGACCACCGAGAGAGAAAACAGGAACCACAGCACCCAGCACTCACACGCTGCAGCTGTTGTCCTTGTGTCCGCTGCGTCACCAGCTCACCACGGTCAGGAACCAGCCAGAGTCCATCTGCTGCACCAACAGGAACAACAACTTCTGGAACTACTGGAACCAACGCCGTTGATGCTGACACCACCGCAACTCAGGCTGGCAGCACAATGCCCATAACCTCATGGAACTTTGAAGTGTCAGGCATAGCCCTATTGGCTTTAGCCCAAACGTAGCAGAGTTTTCCTGCACAGCGAAGAAGCTAGTTGCGGCGGTAATGACTAGTCAGCTAGACTCAGAATAACTATTTACAGGATTTATTAAAAAGGAAAAAATAAAACCAGCAGTTTCTGCATACAAATAAAAGCAAAATAAATCCTTCCTTTCTCTCTCTCAAAACCATACACAGCACTTCTACTCCTAACAACACCTCACACCAAACTGTGCTAGCAATCCTAGATAACAGAGTTGAGTGCTGGTCATTAACCAATCAGAGTAAGTAGTTTCTAGGTCAAGCAGACCTGGGCTTTCTGCCAAGAGTAAATTGATACTGCCCTGAGTTAATTGTGCGAAGCCAGAATCTGCAAGTTTCCCATGAGAACCAATTAACAGAAACTGAACACTTTGCCTGCACATGTATGTCTGTAACTGAGTGCATACGTATATTTGTGTAGTAGTGTAGCATGGGTTGCCTGCGTCCGGGACAAGCACGCTCATGTATGGGGGCAGGGCAGAGAGCCTGAACAGAGCCTGTTGCAGCAGCCCACCCTTTGCTGCTGATGCCGCTGGAGTGACCAAGCTGTGGCTGTCTGACAGGTCACACATCACCAAGAATGCCAGTTTTGACTGTGACCGTGTGCCTTTATTTTAATGCAAGCGAAAGTAAACATGGGCAGCAAGGAGGGCGCCAAAACCCGGCCACAGGAAACTATCAGCTCAGCCCATGCACCTTCATATTCTTATGCTTTGAGATTGCTTTCCTAAATCTGTGTCTTGGGTAGAAATAGGGACAACACTCTTCAGACATCCCTGCTGGTCTCGCTGCCAGAGCCGTCTTTCCCATAGGGCTAAGTGGTGCGTCGCGCCAGGGCGCTGGCCTCTCAGGGGTGCCCCAGCAAGTGGGGGAGCTGCACAGCTTTGCCAGTGGCCTCCCCTTTCCCTGCATGCCCACCAGCTGCGCCCCACCAACCATAAGGCGGGCAGGCACGTAGCTTCCCTCCCAAGCCTCTGAGGGGATCGCTCTCCTCCCGAGGAGGCTTGGGAAGGGTGCAACTTCACTCCCAAGCCTCTGCGGGGATAGCTCTCCTGCAGCGGCATGGGGGAAGAGTTGCACCCCCCAATGGCTGGCTGTGCGCAGCTACGGCCACCCCAACACTATCCATGGTAATTTGGGGGCACTGGGCGGATATTTGCACCCTGGCGCCGCATCTGCTAAAGACGGCCCTGTTCGCTGCAAAGCTCGCTGCCTCTTCTCTCATTTGTCTTTTGCTCGCTGTGGGTAAAACCTCAGCACCTAGGACTTGCCGATCGCATGGTCGGCGGTTCGAATCCCCACAGCGGGGTGCGCTCCCGTCGTTCGGTCCCAGCGCCTGCCAACCTAGCAGTTTGAAAGCACCCCCGGGTGCAAGTAGATAAATAGGGACCGCTTACCAGCGGGAAGGTAAACGGTGTTCCGTGTGCTGCGCTGGCTCGCCAGATGCAGCTTGTCACGCTGGCCACGTGACCCGGAAGTGTCTGCGGACAGTGCTGGCTCTCGGCCTATAGAGTGAGATGAGCGCACAACCCTAGAGTCTGGCAAGACTGGCCCATACGGGCAGGGGTACCTTTACCTTTACCTTACACCTCTCTTGCCCTCCTGCATGGGGGTGCCTGGTTGCGCCCAGGGCCACAGCCCCTCTTCCAACCCCCACTACGCCCCTGTGGTTGTGTGAAGGACTTTCCATCTGATACCCATATCTACTACAAAGCAGCCCGCTCTCTCCCATCGCCCTCCCATAATGCAACAAAGAAATGGAACGTAACGGCGCAGACTTTAATGAAGAGGAAAACAGGATGCCTGTAAAGCAAAGGAAAGGTGCCAGACATAAGTGTTTCGCCATATCTTTTATTTTGCAGGAAGCGATATGTTGTGCTACTCGGTTTAGCTGGAGACACGACCTCCTTGCCTCTTGTTTGTGGGCTAACAGCTCAAGGCAGAGTGTCTGAATTGATAATATGGGCAAGCATTCAGCAAGCAGAACTGTGTCTAGTTACTGGAAGGGAGAACAAATCAAGCTGCTCTTTCAATGCTGGTCAATACCCGACTCCCTTGCAACATGGGCTTCCCCCTGTCTCCGCATAAATGCCCATTCTGCTGTGTCTTGTGCCAGACGAAAGCGTGTGCCCAAAGAATGTACATTGTTCACATAAAGTACATTAAAAACAAAGCAAGGAAGTTGGCTATATAACATAACAGGAGCCAACACAGAGTCCAGATGATTTATTTATTCAAATCTTTAAATTGGTCCAAGAGACTCTGATCTGTTAGAGGGAAAAGGTCTCTGAAACTATTTTGAGCAATTACCAGCCAACCTGATAATGAAAACACACATTCAGAAAAAATGAGAAATAGTTGCAAATTTATCTCAAAACAACATAGCTATTTTTAAAGAAGTTTTGCCTTGGTTTTACTTTCCACAATATATATATATATATATATATATATATATATATATATATATATATATATATGATAATTCAGCTATTTCTAGAACACTTTTGAGCAAACATCAAATCTGAACATAATTTTGCAGAGGTGCACTTCAAACAAAGGGCTGATTTATGAAGATTTTTAAACTCCTGATATCAGCATTTTTTTTAAAAAAAATATTTCTCATGAAGAACATACGGAAGCTTTCTCTTTGTTCTGAATTCAGGAAAAGACTTGTCTTTTTTGCTGCTTTGAATAAACTGATAGCTCTGCAAAAGACACACAGAGAGAGAATGGATTAAAAGGTAAAAATGTAGTTAAGAAGTTCAGAATAAAATCCATTTTGAGTAATATTTATTGTTAACTACTAATAGCTGCCGAGCCAGAGCACACCTTACAGCTTCTACATGTGATGGTGACTAAAATGTCCTTCTGCTTGGCAAGCCGAACTAATCCTAGCTATAATAACTAGGGCTGTGTGTAGACTCCTCAATCCACCCTGTGGCCCCAATCTGTGGTCCCCAAATAAGGGTGATTCTCCTGGTTCAACACTGGGGTTACCCACCTCACCCCTTTGATCCATCCGCCAAACACTAATGGTGTTTTTTCTTAAATGGGTTTTTGAAATAGGTTGCCTTCCCCTGTTTTAGAACCTTAAGGCCCATGGGCCACAAGTGGTCCATGGGAGTCGTTTAACTGGCCCTTGAGCTGCCCCCACCAGGCGAAGCCCCGCACGCTGCGCTAAACTGGTGCAGTGTGGGGACTCGCTTCTGCGGTGCCAGAAATCATTTCTGCGCAGATGCAGATGCCGGAAATTGCGGCTGCGTGCGCTCACACATGCGTGCGAACCAGCCCATGGAGGGATCTCCGCTGGAGTAAACTAACCCAAGTGAGGTAAACCTTGCCGACCTCTGTTTTAAGAGGTTTGGGGAATGTGCAGGAGGAGCTGATTCTGCATGGAACTGCTTCCAAAGCAGCATCTCCAACCCACAGGAAAAATGGCTGCAGTCAACAGCGGTTGTACTTCATGCCGTGTAGATTAAAAATCGGTTTCAGCACTATTTTGAGGTCCCTCTTCCCCACCCGCTTTTAAGACTGCAACCTGACAAAGGGATAGGCCTCGTTTGGTGGTACAGTGGTACCTCGGGTTAAGAACTTAATTCGTTCTGGAGGTCCGTTCTTAACCTGAAACTGTTCTTAACCTGAAGCACCACTTTAGCTAATGGGGACTCCCGCTGCCGCCGCATGATTTCTGTTCTCATCCTGAAGCAAAGTTCTTAACCTGAGGTACTATTTCTGGGTTAGTGGAGTCTGTAACCTGAAGCGTATGTAACCCGAGGTAACACTGTACCTGTTTCCTGAGCCAAAGAATTCCTCTCAGCCTCTCAGCCTTAAATTGAATGGAATAACTCAGAAGCAGGGTAAAGATTCCTCAGAGACCGCGAAATGGCAGGCATGTGAGCTGAGCCATTAGCTTTAGCCATTAATCCAAACAGTTATTAATTAAATGTCCAAATGATGTAGTTCTTCCATAGATGACTCGGCCAGGATTTATACTTGTAATAATACATTGGATGGGGGAAGTGGAGCAAGATACAAGTCTAGCCTTTCAAGCTGGCGGAATGCGGCCTTGCTTTATAAATGAGCGCATTAGAAGTCAGAGCACCAAGATAGGAAACTGACATTTTCATGGCACAACAGGGCTTAGTGTTTTGTGAGCAACAACAACAACAACAACAACAAAAAAAGAGGACTGAAAGAAAGAAAGCCAGTGGTTTATGCATTTGAAATATTACAGAAAGAGGAAAATGTGAATCATTGTCTACGTTTATATTTTGGAAAGCAGATTGTCTGCCTGTATGTCTGCCACCTCTTGAGATATCATTGCCAAATTTGCCACAATGGTTCCCGAGAAGGAGGTAGAAATGGCTGATGATGTTTGGACGCCGTCCGCCATTTTGAATCAAGATAGTAGACCAACACACCACCCTGGCATTGCTTTGTCTACCTTTTTGGAATAGGTTCAGCTTCCTCTTGAGATATTTTCACCAAACTTCATCTCAACAAATTGGTCATGTCTGGACCAAAGGAAGAGAAGAATGACCCTACTTGCTGCCCAACACACTAACCATTGAGGAATCAGTTTTTGAGGACATCTAACCTGATCTGCTCCAGGATGAGCAATCTGGATATAGATTACAGTTTCTTCACAGAGCTGAAATTCAAATGAGAGTCATGATCATTGTGGTGTATACTCTTGTTTCTTTTCTTCCACCATTGCAGTGCTTTAAAATCCAGCAAACCTTTTTGAACAGAGGCAATAATGGTATAAAAGCAATTTAGATGTTTACTTCAGGGAACAATGGCATCATCGAACTATCTTCAACTCTTGGGTTGGTGGTGTGGAGGGAGATCAACTGTCTCTTCTCAAAGTTTCCTTTTATACATGCATCCAGTCTATATTTATTTTAGCAACACCCACAAAGGCATAAATTAAATCAAAACAGGGAACATCCATAAAAGAACAGATTGTTAGTGGGTGTTACAGTGTTTTCTTTTTTTTAGAATGGTTGTGAACTATTTGGAAATTAAATAGAACACTGTGTAGGTGAAAGATAAAGCGCTAAAAATGTCGACTGACCACAAAATTTGTTTCAGACCCCTGATTAACTGCTTCAGAAAACAGCCCACCTTGGTTTGAGGCATTTCATAGACTGCTTGATTTGACTCAGGCTCTATCCAAGTTTGCTTTGTTATTCTCCTCCCATCCTCATTTACTATCGGGATATCAAATGCAGCTGTATCATTTTTTTCTTTTTACAGAAGTGGAGGAAATTTGCAAGCATATTAGTCCCTCAGAGTGGATAAAGCTTGCCAAATCATGCACAAATGGATCCAGGAGCTTTCAGACTGAACATATTTAAATTATTCCCCCCCCCCAAGGAAATGTCTCTAATCTGTTGTATTCAGTTGTGGCACCTACCCCGTAGAATGCCTTGCCAAGTGATGTGTACCAAACCCCATTACAATTGTGCCTCGGGTTGCTTCAGGTTACATATACTTCAGGTTACAGATTCCGCTAACCCAGAAATAGTACCTCAGGTTAAGAACTTTGCTTCAGGATGAGAACAGAAATTGCGCGGCGGCAGTGGGAGGCCCCATTAGCTAAAGTGGTGCTTCAGGTTAAGATCAGTTTCAGGTTAAGTACGGACCTCCGGAACGAATTAAGTACTTAACCTGAGGTACCACTGTACTGTACTGTTTTGGGTGGGTGACAAAAACTCTGTTGTTAAAATGCTTTTGGTTGATTGTTCTCCTTTCTGCGATTTATCTTTGATGTTAGTTTCAATAGCTATTTTGGATTTTGTTGCAAGCACTTGGCTTTTATTCAATTGTTGTAATTTTAATGAGGATTGTTATATAATTTGTTGCTGTTTTTGTGTTCTGAATTGTAAGTCGCCTTATGTTTCTTTGACTTTTAAATAAATAAATATTTTTTATTTTTATTTTTTTATTGCATTCTAGCTGGAAGGTCTCATACAAACCATAGTCTGCCAGTTTGGTTGCAATGGCTAACTATGGTTTGATTGTACCAATAAGTTTTTCATTAAACTTAGTGTGAGAGTGGAAGAAGAAATATATGAGCACAGAGCTTATTCCCAACTCTCCAAACTATGGTTTGCAGGATCAGCAACATTACATCTGAACCAAATAAGCTGCAGTACTATGACTAGCCAATTTTGCTCCATTGACTTAAATCCAAGGACATAAACTTAACAATATGTGGACGAGATACTATATTTGGCCATTTAGAACGGCTCGCAGTTTAAACAACCACTGTTGAAATAAGAAGCTTTAAACAAAGAATTACTCATAAAAAGACAGCTAATTTTTCAAATGATATGTGTGGAAAAGAACATCTACTTGTGAATGATTCATCAAGGAGGGTGTTCTGACATTTTGACTTGTTAGTCATTTACCTTGCTCCAGTCTGTCAATACATCCAGTCGCTTACACTGTCTCCAGTACTTTCTGTGTTTATAACACTCTAGAGGTAACCGAACAAGCTGTACGAGCTGAAATTAAACCACACAGGGAGCTGAACGTTCCTTGTGCTGAGCACAGCAGGGTGGTTCCAAGGAGGCTCACATCTAGGCCTCTTGGAAGTGCTTACAAACTACCAGATCTAATTCTGATCTGGGCAAGGACTGCATAGAAAAGCCTAACTTTTGCATTTTGCTCCAGTCTCTGGCCTGCTCTGCTTTATCCAGTTCCGGGTGTCACACTTTAGAAAAGGATGCAGGCAAATTAGAACGGGCTCCAAGGAGATGGTGGTATGAAAGACGAGTCAGATCAGGGAAGAAGTGGAGCACATGGCACTGGGAAAGGAAAAATATAAAGGAAAAATCCTTCTCCACTGGAGCAGCAATTTTGCCTAAAATGCAGTAGCTGAGTCACAAGACTTACAGATGTCTGTACAGTCATACCTCGGGTTACAGACGCTTCAGGTTGCGCGTTTTCTGGTTGCGCACCACACCAAACCCGGAAGTACCGGAACGGGTTACTTCCAAGTTTCAGTGCTCGCGCATGCGCAGAAGTGCTAAATCTCATTTTGCGCATGCACAGAAGCAGCCAATCACAACCCGTGTGTGCGCAAACATGGCCCTGCGGGTTGCGAATGTGCCTCCTGCATGGATCACATTTGCAACCTGAGAGTCCACTGTACTTCACCTGAGGATAGCTCAGCTATGGGACTCCTTGACACAAGGGAAATGCTGTGGCAAAGAATTTAGCCATTTCCAAAGAGGGATAGATACTGTAGAAAGTGATAGCAGTGATTGCCATCTGATGGTGCCAATCTCTGCCTCTGTCTGCCACCATCATGTGACTGGCTGTGGTACTGCACCACCATTTTGCGACCGTTGGGCCTCAGTAATTTTCAGGAAGTTCAAGTACCTAGCCCTACAACACTCTCCTCAATGCCACAGCCTCACCTCTTAAATCCTATCCCATTTTCACCTTCCCCATTGTGTATTTCATTTCTTTGCCACTAAACATACCTGTCTGACTTTGGAATGACTCAAGAGTAGTGGATGGGGACTAAGAGTGGAAGAGATTATTTTAGGTGCTAAGGGCGGATGGAGGCAGACCTAAAGATTTCGATTAACCTTTGATAACCTCCTTGGGGAAAGGAATTTTACTCAGGAAAATATATCCTTTTCCTAGAAGCAAGTGTCTGGAAACAAGTTGCAGCTTTCCTCTTTCTTATCTGTATGAATCACCATCGTTCGAGAGGTCAGAGTTATGCCAAGCAAGACATGGCCTCTGTCTTCCGAGGTTGTTTATATATGAGACTTAAGGCAGCTCTTGCCTCAGCTAAGCTTATAATGCAGAATGTAATGCCTCTTCTGATTTCTCTTCCACATCATCAGCAACCAGATGTTCACATACACAGTGTGAGATTCAGGCACAACTGCTTTGCTCCTCTCTTCATGCAAGCGATGACACAAACCAGGAAGCTGCAGTAAACCATAACTTCCTGCATGTCCAAACTTGGAACTGTGGCTACTGGTTTCTCATCAACCCATGATACAGATGTTAGCTTTAAATCATGATTTCATATTATGGCTTGTCTGAAAGCCATAAACCAGAGTTTCCCGGTTGACACTTAATGGGACGAGTTATTATTTCTGACTTCCTGGCTTGTTCACTCATTTGCATGGAAAGAGGAACGTAGTTGTTGCATGTGGGTGCCTAAAACTAGCGCATATTTCAGTTAAGCCACTATTGGATGTCTGAATCAAAGCCTCTGCAATGGATGGGTGCTGCACCAGCAGAGTTGGAGAGTACAGATTGTGTAGGAAGCATATTGCATTTGAAGTACATCCACACCTTGAAAAATCCTGGCGGGCCCTTATTGTTCAGTAGAAATCTAGTTTCTGGCAACACATCAAAATCAACAGGTGCGACAAATTCTTGCAGTTGTACAAAAATCCCATTGAAAATTCCAGAATTCCCTGCTTGTTTGACTGTACTTCTTAAAGGAAATAGCTCATTAAAGTAATTTTGGCCACTAGTGTAAATGGCAGCTAGGTTTCTCTTTTGGTCAATTCAGATTGAAGCTGGTTTGGCGGGAAATGCATTAAAACACACTGTTTAAGCTGTTTCCAGTGTGCTCCCACCTCTGGTTTGGGAAGTGGCGTACACACAATGTTCACCGCAATCCTATTCTGTAATTTCCTATGAAATGCTGAATTTTGATGCATTCTCTCCCAAGCCAGTTTCAATCTCAATTGACCAAAAGAGCAACCGAACCACATTTTAAGTTGGTAATGTGTACGCAGCCACAGTATTTCATAAGAAACAACTGGATAGATATGGATTGTAACGAACGTTGCATTTAAACTGTTTCCCAAGCAAGCAGTGGGGACACACTGGATGTGGAGTAAACAGAAGTACCCAACCTTATTTTACGGAATAAGCCGGATGTGGTCAACCAACAACTTGCAAAATTGTAGTAACTAGCATGCAATACAGGCATGACTGTAAGGGCGGGGGGGGGGGCAGAACTTTTTTTACTTTTATGTTGCTGGAGGTTCATGAGTGCCATCTGTTGAATTCAGCCATTCCTGCTAAACTTTCTGACAAAGGAGCACAGAGATCCAGTCCAGAACATAACTGTCTGTGGTTTATAAAGCGAAGCTGAACTTTTTCTGTCCTTTCCAATAGGTAGTGTTGGATTCGTATGGTGACTGCATGGCTCTTTCAGAGTCCTCAGTGATAGAAAGCAGAACTGATGATTATCTCAATACTGACTACACACAAAATTTGTTAGCCTTGTTTGGATTTCACAATATTGACATCACTTGTTTACTGCTCAGAAAGGTCACATGAAGTTCCCCTCTGAAGTTTTAAAGTGAACCCTGCATGATTTGTTTCGTTTTACAAAATGCAATGACCACCCACCCACCATAAAAACCCTACCCTAAAATGATAACTATAGGACTAGTTGTTACAAGTCCTGATTTTTACATTTTTTAAAAACACACAAGTTTCATAACTTTTCTGCTCCCTGCCCCCCGCCCCCATGGTACTTCTCTGATTGGTGAACCAATTAGATTGTATTTCCAAGATCGTTGAAAGAACCTATTGGTTAATTGGCAGGGAAGCAAACATTAAAAATAACTGTGAAAGTTATTGTGCCGTTTCAATTTTTCAGTCAAGCAATACATCTTTTAAAAAACAAACTATAATTCAAACAAATAGACAGAATTTGTTTCCATGTAAACATACCCAAGACCATACTATTAGGCTGTAATCCTGCATGCATTTACCTGAGAGTAAACACCACAGAACTCAATGAGATCTACTATTGAGTAGATAGGCATAAGATTGCACTGTTAGGCTGCTTCCACAAGAGACATTGCACAATCCCATACATGTCTACTCAGAAGTAAGTCCCAATGAATTCAGTGGGCCTTACTCCCAGGTAAGTGGGTATGGGTAGGTGTATACATACCATTTCTCTCCATGGCAGTATCAGATTAACCTGCCTTATATTTTCCTCAAGAATGTATATTTTTCTATGCGCTGAAAGCAAAGCACCCATGAAGTGTTTTCAGGGCCAATTTGCAACCGACACACAAACAATAACAAGAGCTTCTTACCTCTTCTTGCTAAGCCCTTCAGTTTATTTATTTCCTTACTTGAATTTCTATCCTGCAGTCTGCCCCAAGTGAGTAACCGCATGTTGTAAAGAGCAAAATAAAACAAGGCCAATTGAAATAACCAGCTACAACAAAGACTGCGTCTCATCATAAATAACTGGGGGCCTGAGGGGAATTAAGGAGCAGAGAGCAGCTCACATTGTTTATGGTATCGAAATGCCTGATCAGATGCACAGCCACACTCCTCTTCTTTCATCTTGCACACAGTCCCAGAAGGAGGGAGAATCTGCTTATTTCTTCTTCTTTCCGTTGTGAATTCTCCTTGCTTCAGAGAGCAGCCATTCACTTTGAAAGGAGGACCACACTAGCAAACATAAGCCAAGAGGAATGAAAAATGCTTGGGATGCTATCAGGGGCATGGCTGGTGTGAAAGCAGGCAATAGGAAGGTGGTGCTTTTAACCTTCTGCGCTGAACAAACGAGAAAAGTTGTCTGAGGTTAGAAGAGAAGTCAGTGGAAAACACACCAGAAAGCATGTTGCCAAAATTAGATACAAGGAAAGGGCTGTTATTATCTGTGTAGTGATGGATAACGCTTTTCTGCCTGCTCTCATTTGTCTTACTATAGTCATCCCTACTCCCATCCCAGTCGTTCACTGCTCTTTATCTTAATGGGCTGGAGATGGGCAAGTAATAGATTTTGCAAATGGGTGCTGCCAATCCTAAACTTCATTTTTTATTAGTTGACAGGCAGTATTCAGGTTTAAGCAGGGCTCCCTCTCCTCTCCTCCTTGCATTAAGTAGCAATCACCCTGCTCTGGCATCTGTCAACTCCCCTTAACTGGATTGCTGAGGTTTGTAACTTAGGTCCTTCCAGGGTGCATAGATTCTGCGGTCTGTTCACACACCCCTGTTAGGGGAACAACATTAAATTATCACCTCTGCTGATTGGGAAGAAGATGAATAGAAAGCAAGAACCTGGAGAATATTAGAGACACTTGCAGTGACATGCAAAGGAGCAAATGGAAATTTAAAGCCATTGGACTCAGTTATACACCCGCAAATAAAAGGTTATAAAGTGCAGTATAAAAATGTGGCATTAGGTGGTGATGGTGAGCTATGGTAAATTCACTATATTTTTCAAAATGTTTTTTGAAACAAAGCTTTTTCCACCGTGTTTTTTTATATGTGTGTAGATTCCACCATTGTTTCCTAGCCTTCTGTATGGCAACACATTTATGGGCCCTTAGCATCACGGCCGTTTCTTGGCATACCTATCTTCCCCCTTCCAGCTGACAACTACTCACCTGCCACCTCTCCCTGCCTTCATCAAAGGCTGTGAAGAGCTGTAAATTAAGGGGCAAAAGCCAAGAGGCTCATTGTGCCATTTTCCAACAACTCATTCATTGAGAATTCATTGAGAAAAGGCAGGACCTGTGGCAGTCACTCATTCATGGCATCATATCATATACTCTTTTATTTGAAGTGGCATCATAGAATCTTTGAGTTGAAAGGGACCCAAGCGTTATCTAGTCCAACCCCCTATAATGCAGGAATCCCAGCTAAAGCACCCTTCATCTCATAGGGCAGTCCATGACCTGGAATATCATGACACCTTTTATAAGACCCCCCAAAGAGATGAAGTTCACAGATCCAAAGTATTCTGTGCTCAGCTCATGCCAATTCCTGAGATTTTAAGCATGCTACAACATTTCCTCCTCACATTTAATGCATCTATAGAGGAATGTAATCTCCATTCCCCACGATGTGTTTGGCCTAACCCTTGACTCCAAAATGGGAGTCATTTTGGACTCACAGCTGTCCATGGAGGCACAGGTCAAATCTGTGTCCAGGGCAGCTGTTTACCAGCTCCATCTGGTACACAGGCTGAGACCCTATCTGCCTGTGGACTGCCTCGCCAGAGTGGTGCATGCTCTGGTTATCTCCCGCTTGGATTACTGCAATGCGCTCTACGTGGGGCTACCTTTGAAGGTGACTCAGAAACTACAACTAATCCAGAATGCGGCAGCTAGACTGGTGACTGGGGGCGGCCGCCGAGACCATATAACACCGGTCTTGAAAGACCTACATTGGCTCCCAGTACGTTTCCGAGCACAATTCAAAGTGTTGGTGCTGACCTTTAAAGCCCTAAACGGCCTCGGTCCAGTATACCTGAAGGAGCGTCTCCACCCCCATCATTCTGCCCGGACGCTGAGGTCCAGCGCCGAGGGCCTTCTGGCGGTTCCCTCATTGCGAGAAGCAAAGCTACAGGGAACCAGGCAGAGGGCCTTCTCGGTAGTGGCGCCCTCCCTGTGGAACGCCCTCCCACCAGATGTCAAAGAGAACAACAACTACCAGACTTTTAGAAGACATCTGAAGGCAGCCCTGTTTAGGGAAGCTTTTAATGTTTGATGTATCACAGTATTTTAATATTCTTTTGGAAGCCGCCCAGAGTGGTTGGGGAGGCCCAGCCAGATGGGCGGGGTATAAATAATAAATTATTATTATTATTATTATTATTATTATTATTATTATTATTATTATCCACAACCACAATTGAAACAAAGCTCAGATTCAACCCATTCTTCTGCCCCTTGTCTCCCGCCAACCCACCTGTGAAATTTAGGTTGCAAGCTTTTCTTTGTTTCTTATTGCAGTGCAGAGACCAAAGCCACAAGGAATTCCTGAAAAATGCACTTCCAATGGGCGGGGGGATGGAATAAAGCATATACAAAGAAATGCCTAACACTGTCAACCTGCTGAATAGCTACCTAGCTAATTGCAAAGCACATTCGGAGGTTTTCTTGGGCACAGAGCTGAACTGAAACAAACACACACACAAATGCCTTTTTGCTTCCTGCTCCTGCGGAGTGAATGATGGAGCCCTCTCATCTCCATAAGAACTCAAAGGCACAAGGTTGTGGCAGGTGGATGCTCCTGCCGCAGGGTTCGCTGCTGGTTTGGCTTTGATCGGGAGTTGGCCCTTGTTGTTGAAAGGAGACATTTCCCCTTGCCAGCTTCTCTCGACAGCCTGCTCATGTCCACTGCCACAGGCCTTGTCAGACAGGAGAAAGAGCAATCGCTCCCTCCCTCTCCCCCAACACAAAAACACACCGCCCCGCCTTCCCGTTCCCAAACAACCACCGAACAAAAGCACCCGAGCTGCCAAATTATAGTTCATTTCTATCAGGCACAAACTGTCTGAGCATGACTCACGTGTTCATTATATTCCTGTGTTCTGCGAGACATTATGCAGGTGTTTCTGATTGTTACGGAGTGTTTTCTTTAGACAGGGAATACCAAAGCTGGCTTTCAATGATCACCCATGTCCTCACAGCTCTGTGTTTGGCATCGTGCATCTCATTGTTCCTTCGGCGGAGATGATAATTGGAGTCAGGTTACCCAGTGTGTTAAGCGCAAAGCACTCCTCTACCCCTGCTTCATATTAATCAGATTGCAGTGCAGACAAGTCTTTCTGGACCTCATCTGTCACTGTCCAAAGGTTCGACAACATATTGAGCCTTGTGTGAATAGGTTTACCGTTGTTCGCTCCTCAAAACATCCTGTGGTTAAATGTGCTGCCAGAAGGGTGGAAGGAATCTGTGCAAAAATATATAGCTAAGGGAGGAAGACAACATTTATTTTTATACCACCCTTAGGAGCTTAATAATAATAATAATAATAATAATAATAATAATAATAATTTTTTATTATTATTTGTACCCCACCCATCTGACTGGGTTGCCCCCACCACTCTGGCCAGCATATACAAAAACATAATAAAACATTAAACCTTAAAAAGCTTCCCTATAGAGGGCTGCCTTCAGATGTTTCCTAAATGTTATATAGCTACTCACCTCCTTAACATCTGATGGGAGGGCATTCCACAGGGTGGGGGCCACTACCAAGAAGGCCTTCTGCCTGGTTCCCTGTAATTTTACTTCTTGCAGTGTGGAAACTACCAGAAGGCCCTTGGTGCTGGATCTCATTGTCCGGGTAGAACGATGGGGGTGGATACAGGACCGAGAATGCAGACTGAGTCAGACCATTGGTCCATCAAGTTCAGGAGCACCTACACTGAATGGCAGTGGTTCTCTAGGGAATCGTTCAGACAAAGGTCTCTCCCAGCCCTTCCTGGAGGTGCCAAGGTTTGAACCTGGGAACTTCTGCATATTAAGCACATGCTCTACCACTGAGTTATGGCTCTGTGAGGTAGGTTAGATAGTGACTAGCCCAAAGCCACCTTGTGAGCTATGTGGTTGAATGAGAATTCAAACCAGAGGGACGGGACGTGGACTGGTTAGTTTCGGACATGGAAGAGAGGAGGACTTCAAGCACTGCTTTGTCTTGAGAGGAACTGGCTTCTCTTGAGAAGATGTCATCGCAAAGAGAGCTCCCAGCAACCTCCTCTTGCACAATCCTTACATTGCGATTCCAAAGGAATTCCAGCACAAGCCCTGAGGCTGCCTTCGAAGACCTGTGGGTGATGTCATGTCTGCAGCAAATGGGATGACAACAATTGCCCATTATATGACCCTGTTTATTTTTGCAGGGAGACACACAAATGCAGCTTCAGAAAGAAGCCTCAAGTTCTATGGGAGGCCATCTCTCAGTTCCCTTCTGTTCCTGGCGGTGTGGTTTTGTTAACAGGAAGCCATTAAGTCTATCATATTTAATGGCTTCCATCAGCAAGGCTGTTAATATGCAAAGGTTTGATAAACTTGGGTTTATCGGCCACTCTGTCTGCCATTACAGCACCCCTGAGTTGCATAAACCAAATTCAAACATCAGGTTCCAGGCAAGTGGGGTGATGGTTTATCAATGTCAGACATCATCATTCGGAATATGTTTATTAGAGAAGATGAGGAAAACAAGCGTTGTGTTGCAATTTGGAAAACAAACACAAAATTGATTCATACATGCTTGCAATGCATGCACGCCTAGAGCACCCAGATTTTATAAAGCAATTTGCCCAACAGCCAATGATCTGTTTGGAGGAGGAGGAGGAGGAAGAAGAGGTCTTTAAGCTTGTACATGTTAAATCACAGTTCAGGATCACTGCACACAACTGATGAGCTTTAAGCAGAATGGATTGTAAGCGAAGTACGTTTAGCATAATCCATAAGGTGTCTCTGCAGCCTCTGGAATAGGGGCATTTATCACATTAAATTCATGATCTCACAA